TCCCAAAATAGGCTGCTAGGTACTTCAGCTCACCACAAATGCCTGCTAAGAAGTTGTACTTAAAAGACTGAAAAGGTACACAAATGTAAATGAATTTGAAGTATAAGTGGAACAAGTAGCAGTTCCCTTCCTTCCATCCCAGGAATCTTCAGATGGAATGGCTCTTTCTGACTTTAATCTCCTGGCACAGGTATGCGAGTCAGCAAACCCAAAAATGATGCACCAAAGATAGAAGAACGATGGGGGAAAGTTTCCCATTTACCTTTTTCCCTATCTGTGTCCCTCCTACTCATCCACCTTCCAGTCCATTAACCTGTGGGCCTGTGTCCCAGCTACTGACACCCTGAAGAAGACACACTAATGGAACAGGGGTATTTGTTTTTCTCACTAATGACAATGAGTGTTGGCTTCTCCCATCCTAGCCTGCCACCTTGGCCAAGTATGCTGGAATTCTGTCAATACTAGACTACTTCTGAATCATGGGATAGGTAGAAAGTTTTCCCATGCTCTGTCCTGCCATCAGTGAAAATGAGTGAAAAGGAGGGGGTAGATTTTTTCCATACTGTTTCACTGCTGCTGCTGGCTAGATTTTATCCCTCATGTCAGCAAAAGTGTGAACAGGCCAGTGGGCAGGATGGCACAATATAGTCATTGGCAAGATGGGAGTCCATGGAATCACACACATCAGGAAAGCCAATGATAATAGCTTTTTATTTTTTAAGAGGTTTTGAGTAGGGAAGGGAGGGGAGGGAAGGACCTCTCTTGGCTAATGTCTGCAAAGCACCATTAGGCCCTAAAAAAGGAACTTGGGGAGTTCAGGGATGAGTGCCTTCTCTTCATCCCTGGGACATAAGAAGCAAACATTCCCCACTAAAAGGTTTTGGTTTTATTTTGTTTCTAATCTTTAAGATACACACATCTTCAAGTCATTCCTTCGGCTGCACTGCTTCTAATAAATCTGCAACACATTCCTTGCCTTGGGGCTGTTTTCACGATCATTTTCATTCTTCTTTTAAAAAAAGTAAAACCAAGTATATGGCTCCACTGACTATCCACACTGCCTGCTTTCTTCCATTTAACTTCAGTGTGTTGGTCTCCCAGGATGGAAACAGACATTTTCTGTAGAGTATGATCAGCTGGGCCATAATATGTTGTGGCACAGCTGATAGTCCTCCACATATGCCTGCAGATATCGCTGGTTGCCATACCTCAGTCTGGGGCTTGCAGGTATGCCCCTCTATGTTGGAGCATGGGGGAATCCTCTGCTGGTGTTTTTCCCCAGCGTGCCTGCAAACACAAAGGCGGGAACTCCCACAGAGGTTCCCCACTCCCTGCTTGCAGATACATCTGCAGATGAATCCCTCTGAAGGGGACCCCACAAATGCTCAAATTTGTGGCTGTGACAGAAAGTACTAATAAACTGGACCACTTTATTGCAGCCCATATTTGGTTATGGTGAGAGAGCACAGGCAAGCTGAGGCTGCCTGTGCTCTCCAGCTGCCCAGGGCAAGAGCTCTATGGGCTTTAGAAGTCTGCTCTTGCACACACTGAGAATTCCTGGGCAGGATCAGGCTCTTTGGGCTTTGGGAGTGCCTGCCTCAATTTCTCTGTTTACCCAAATCCATCCCAGGGATCTCCAGGGATGGACACATCTGGGTAATGAGGGAAAGTTGGAGTTGTGCCCCTTGCAGCAGTGATATGCATGTTGAGGTAATCCCTCCGCAAGGGATTTACCTGGCAGGTATGTGCCTGCAAACATGGAGGGGGGGGGGACAGCCTCATAGCAAATCCCCTCTCCATATCTGCAGCCTGAGCACAGGACTGTTGCCAAATTTGAGTGTTTTTGGTGAGATGGAAGGTAGGGATGTCTGTTTACTTTCACTTCGGGCTACTATAAAAAAAGTTATGGTGGCACAAAGGTGATGTCTGTTTCCACTCTTAGGTTGCCTGTAGATAGGTGGGGATGCTGCTCCAACGTGCTGTAAATACAGTGTGTTGAAGTAGACTCAATTAATCCCTAGAATTGAGTCTGCTGGAGTGCACTAATAGGCTTTAGTAAAAGCACCCCTGGCCATCATTTTGAAGAGTGGGATGCTGAAAACTTGGGACACTGTGGGCACTTGAATTAGAGTGGCTTGTGGAACCACTCTAATTAAAGCACTCCCTCTCCCCCAGCCCTGGAGCATGTGTAAAGATGCCACTAGAATGCAAATTATTTGGGACAGTCTTTATGGCCAGAATATTCAAATTTGGGGTCCTAAAGTTGAACGCCTAGGTCTGTATTATATTCAGACAGCTATATAACCACAGCTTGATTTACAAAAATGCTGAGCACCTAACAAAGGGTATCTATGGGTGCTCGGCACCTTTGAAAATCAAACTCCTCTTATTTAGGTTGTGTAAAATGATGCAGATATATTTGAAAAATTTAACTTGATTCATATCTAAATCCTAGTTGGGAGGCAGATTTATGAGGTTCCATTATTCACATGAATAAATTTCTTCTTGAGCAAATTCAGATTAATATCTACATTTTAGACACAAATACAAGAGACTATGCAAGTCCTTCAAATGATACTATGCAATAGCAACATTTTACATGTTTATGAAATGAATGTATTGAACATTATGGTCTCCAGTTTCATTTCACTTGTTACCCTTCATTGCGGTCATTGCCACAAATGAATTAGTAACTGGCGTGTGTGTCCATACATGTATGATTCTATTTCAGGTAGATGAGATTAGATTCCCAAAGCAGTTACCATGTCATGGCTTTGACTAATCTTCTGGGGAATATTACTAGAAGTCTTTTCACCTACTGAATTAGTTGTTGTATTTTTAACTGTAAATATCATCATTGATTGTTAATTCAAGTAATAAGTATGAGAAAGCATACCCTACCAGTTCTACTTTTTGTTACAGATAGGTACTTCTGCTTGACAGACCATAGTGATCTGCTGCACGGTTTAATTTTAGCAAACTGGGAAAGCAGGAAACTAATATTTCATTCTCTTCACAGAATGATGTTTGTCTCCTGGCTGGAAATTGATTTCTAGAGGTCAATGGTATGATACAAAACGTGCTTCAATGAATGTATGAGAAAAGTGAATAAAATGTTGGGATAACATTAAAAATCAAACTTCAAAATATTAATTAATAATTATTATCATTATTCACCCAGCTCTACTAAATACAATATAGGATACCTTTGATTTTGCAAGACGTTCTATATTGTCAGTGGGATCAGACCCCATGGATAGAAAACAAGTCAAAGGTGTTCGACAATCACTTTCAGTCCACATAACTTCCATGTCCAGGATAAATCCTTCTGCATACTTTATGCCCAGGGACTCTGCAATGTAGTGCCGAGCCTGCAACATTTATTTTCAAACATGAATAAAGCATCTTACTTGCATACACTATACCTATATCAACACAAAGAGCACAACCCCATGTTCAGTAAAATGGAATTCATTGATGGTTGCCTTGGGCTAGATGGAAGAATGTAATTTTTCACTTTAATTTTCAAAGTAACAGAAGTTATAGTCCTTCACTTATTATAGCTTCTACTGGAAAGGTTTTAACCAAAGTCTTCCTTTCTTGGGAAAGTGTTGCCACTGTCCATGACCCTTGGGCTATTCCTCTTCTCCTCCAAATAATGGAACCCATTTGTTTTCTATCTATAAAACTCTGGAGTCTGGCCATGCTTCTGATGTCCTCATTTCACATGAACACACCCAAAAGCAACTAGAAACTAAATTCTCTTTGACACATGAAGCATAAGCCTTCCGACAGCCTTTTCAGCTATCTTAGCTATACATACATTTTCTAAAGAGTGCGTTATAAAAGGATCCAGAAGAAATTATTTTGAGGTAGGATAGACTGAAAGAGAACGCAGTTCCAGAAACCAGAAAGGACACCATCAGGTAATAAATTTTCTACTATAGAGCATGACATCCCCCAGTTCCAGACATATGTACAATAGTGAACAATAGGGAAAAGTAGCTGGGAAGGAGAGATAAGTAGTTTAATGGCACAAGATTACCCCCTTTCTCCAATAATTAGTGTAATTAAACTATGAAGGGCCCAACATTCAGAGCACATTTCTGTTGAAAGATGTTTCTGCACTGTTGGCCTCCTGCACTGTCTTATAAAAGTGTTGATTGATGACAAAGGGCAGCTTTTCAGTCTCCTTGTGAGGGGCCTAATGTTTTTTTCTCCTCAGGATGCATGTTAGACAGATTCTGATCCCTTTTAGAATTGATTAATTCACAGCTGCATAGAACTCAATGATATAGTTAAGCGGCCTGACTATGTAAAAGTTGGAATCTTTCAGGCCCAGAAGCACATAGTGACAGAAAATTAATGAAGCCTTTTTTTCTGAACTGCACAGTCCAACTAATGTACGCTGTAAATGCTCTCCTCATTTCTAGCATATGAGAAGATCTTCTTTTATCAGGATGGATGATCTCCTGTGATATATGAAACAAACGGTATACCTTTGAAATGGATGATTCTGGAGTTTGTAAAGTGACATTGTCCTCATGGAAGACAGAGTCAGACTTGTCCTTTCAGAGTGAAAATTTTGGAACCTTTTCTTGCTGACCTTTCAATCTGAGCTCCTTGTCCTCTACTATGGCATTGGACAGGATATAGAAGGAAATATTCCCAAAGGAGCCCAGATCTTCATAATGGAAGGAAGGAAATTTCAAAATATTGGATTCTTAAATACAATTACTGACTTGAGGATGCAAGAGGAACTCTGGAGATTTGGGTGATTTTCTTGGCAGACTGAGCCAGGGAATTTTGGATTTGTTGTCAAAGATTCTTTGATCAAAGGGAACAGAATTGCCTCTTGGGGCCTAAATGCAGAAAAGATCTGAAGCTCCCTTGTAGAATTTTCTCTTGAAGACTCTTGCCTGGATATAGGCCCCAATGGGCCTTTCAGACTGAATTCCTTCCACTGGTAGAGTGTGAGTCTATGGGTTTGAAACAATTTGGGTAGATATAGCTTCCCTTCTCAAGGTCCCCGCTACTCTACCCTGTCATATATGCCATCCTGAGCAATGGGGAGAAAGTGAAAGAGGAATTTAGCAATATTGTTTAAAGGAACAGCCCTTAAAAATGTTGTCCCCTAAATTAAACACAACGGTTATACACAAAGTTAAATTTAAAAGCTGTGGTGTTTACAAATACAGTAGGAGATCTAAGATGCTGTACATAAGCTTGGCTGAAAAATGGAAGAGATCCTTATGGACAAGTCTGATCAAAGAATCATAGAGTTAAAAGAGATCTCAAGACTGGTCTAGTTCAACCCATTGCATAGATACAGGATGTGATACTTCTATACTTACACCTAGACAGATGCTTTTCCAGTCTTTCTTGAAAAGCTCCAATGACAGATATTCCACAATATCCCTGGGCAGCTTGTTCCACTGTCCTACTGCTCTGACAGCTAGGAAGTTTGTCATCAGATTTAATTTAAACCTCATTTGTTGTAACTTAAACCCATTGCCTCATGTTCCTTTCTTTGTGGGAAAGCCTTTCAAATATTAGAAAACTGCTGTCATGTCTCCCATGAATATCCTTTTTTCCAAACAAAAATATCTGGTTCTCTTAACCTTTCCTGGTATAGTTTGCAGCCTAATCCCTTAACTATTTTTATTGTTCATCTTAGGATCCTGTCTGGGGTTTTCTACATCTTTCTTAAGTTGCAGAGTCCAGAACTGTACACAGTACTATAGCTAATACCTACATTACGCTGTGGCACCTTTGAAAGGATCTCAAGGCACCCCAAGGTGCCATGGCACCCAGGTTGAGAATCAGTGATCTAGAGGGTCGCAGAAGTTTTACAAGCTTCAGAACCATACTGCACAGTTGTGCTGCTCTAGAAAACTGATATCTCTACCTAATATAAAAGGTGATATAACATTTCTGACATACTTTACTTAATAGCTGTGTTTTTCTTTTTATTATAACTAGCCATGTAAAATAGACCCTTAGAATATTTTCAAACATTCAGAACTGTTTTTCTTGAGTCACATATTTTGTCGTTTAATACATTTTGGATTAGCTGAGGCCTTATGGTTAAAATTCTCCCATTACACTTCTCTTCTTTACCTGAGCAATGGTATGATCAGGACACCAACTGCGGATAAGGAGCAGTTTACGAAATGTGTCCAATAAACTGTCATAACCATCTGGAATAGGAGTCTCTTCAGGAGCTTTTTCATCAAACCAAGCTTTCCAAGCCTTCTCATTTCTTCCAACTTGCCCCAGAAGCTGGTTAAAGGGGTTCAGATTAGATAACTGTACAAGGTTGAGCCATGTCATGTCAAGGATCCAGTTTTTTGGTTTTGGTTCCACAGAATTCAGATCCAAACTTGCACCTCCTGCAACATGAAAAACATCATCAAAGAAGGAAATAATTATTTAAAGCTAAGTCATAGGTGAGCATAAGTATTGATTTCTTCCCTTTTGGTGCTATCAATTTTATGGGGTTTTCAAATACTGATATAGGTTTTGGCATTGAGTAACTATTTAGTGAATTGAATTAGTCTGAATAAGAATCACATTTTTCACAGACCCCTGGCAGATATTAAAATAATTTTGTGATGGGACCTGATCCCCCATTCCAACAATTGTTCCTCCTGCCATGCTTTGCAAGATGCATCATAGCTAGGGCCAAGAGACCAATCCCAATTATGCCATTATTTTAATGGGAACTTTGCAACCTTGCAATTCAGGTTAGCAAGGTTTCCATCCAGGAGAGCTCATGAGCTGAAGCTGGGGAGCTTAACCCTCCCCAGCACTGGCAACCCAGACCTGCTGGTTGGCTGCCTAGCCATGCAGCTCTGAGTAAACTGCAGGGCAAGGCATATTGCAGTTTTTGGTCACAGTGAGCCCTGCAGCAACCCAGCATGGTGCTTACCTGTCCTGGATATGCAGTTCACTGTGACCTGGCACTCTGCCCAGCTGATGGGCTTTCTGGACTTCTACAGGCTGAGACCTACATGGTATAGTCTTCTGATATAGGGGGAGCTCATCAGCTGATGGTCTTTCTAGGCAGCAGCTAAAAGCACAAGATGCAGCCCCATATACCACATGGCTGTCAGCCAAGCTCTGCCATGTAACCAGCATCAAGCTGTGTGGCAGGGGCTACTCCATTACATGTTCAGTTTGAAACATGATGGAAACCAGCCACAAAAATTTCCACATATTTTATTTTGTGGAACATAATTTGTTCCATATAATTTATTTCATCATGCCATTAATATCTTGAATGTATGGCAGGACTACTCTTTATGGTGCAATTAACAGGTTAATCACATTGTAAGTGTAATAACTTCCAGGATCCACAGTCTCCAAAATATGGAGTGGTAGGAAAGATAGTTTTATAACTGACACTGGAGAAAGAGTCAAAAGAGCTGAGCTCCCCTGCTGACTGGGGAATGCACAATACCTGCTGAAGGGTATTAGTTGAAGCCTGCCACCATCCCATAGGGATGGTACGTTTTAGGCTTCATTTTTCTCATCTGCAAGGAAACACAAGTTCCATTCTCTTCACAGGTGGTGCCACATACATGCTTGCTTGCCAGAAAGCATAGTGCCTGTATCCATATCCAGCACCTTAGACTCTCAGTTAATAAACTGAACCCTTAACTAATGTTTGGAAAATACACCAAAATTATTGTTTGGAAAGTATAGCATACATACAAGATCCTGTTAATATAATTATTGACAAGTGTGTTTTGACACTTTATGGATATATGGAAATGGACACACTTTAGGATAAATTACCTTTGATGAGCGTCTGAAACTCATTGTGAGTGATTTTTTTGGCCTGCAAGTCAATCTTCAATGTCATGAGCAACGTGAATAGGAACTTGTGATTTTCATACAGCCCTCGTACTGTATACTTGAATACTTCATAGGTGAGGTGCTCAATTATGTTGGCTACTCGCTTGGCTGTGATCTGAGATTTCACTGATCTTTCAACAGACAGGTCAAAAATCCCAAGGAACTGCCTTAAAGATGTCTGGTACATTACATTTACCAAACTCATTTCCACAATTAGGAAATAAAGGATGCTGCCGCGACTAGCAACTGGACGGTATTCTTCCCGTGCAGTATTGATTTTCACCTCTGTCTCTGCCGCAGTATTTAATTTTTCACTGACCTTAAAATTAATTGAAAAGACCACATAAATTAAGTTGTGTCATTTGCAATTTATATGGCAAATATAAATAAAGGTGTTGATTCAGAAGGTAACTGTATTTAGATTTTCTGTTGTATTGGAAGA